TGAGTACGACCATTGGTCGTACTCATCGTGAAGGGCATAGTTAAGGGAATTGGGTATCAACCTTACAATCAACCCGTGGGGTTTCTCACTGCCGTTCCTATGTGTCCATCAGAATTATCAGAGAAGTTCTTCACCTCACATCAATGACATCTGTTTCTGGAGAAGCCTGTGGTCGTGCTGTCATCGCGAAAGCAGGATGTGAGATCGTAATAATGAAGATATATGTCTCTAAATTCCAGCTATTATTTCGAGGTGTTTGTAAACACCATCCAATTGAACTCATAATGTGCTCTCATCGAGCTGATATAATCTCACAGCGGGGATCTGAAATTCCCATTGTGAGAGGCTTATGGCCATAAATCTTCGACTTAATAGTCTATCGACAGTAGATGACATGAATGAATGAACTCTTAGAAACGAGTTTTATTATTTCTCCGTCGGTTATGACACTAAGACACGTGGAATCCCGACCGCCACCGAATTCACACTTTTTACATCACATTGTGAGGACCGCGCAAGGTGACTTCAGAGGCACGTCCACGGTAGCAACCTCGATATAACTGAGGTTTCAGAAGTGGCCGAGTGCCAGACCTTGCTCCGCATAGTAGGACATCTAGATCTTGCGCCACACGAAAGCGCAAGGTCTACTTTCGCGATCGTGGAAAACTAACGCGAAACCTCCCGATCAAATTTTCAGGACCGCGTAGGACGCGCTCACGGCAGTTGCCTAAGGATTTAGGAGTGGCCGAGCGCCAGAACTCTGGGCTATCTTCTGGGCTGTGCGCCATTATTTCACGGTGTTGAGCAACACCATTCTGTCGAGCTCTTGTTAAAATTACATACAGCATGACAGGCGGACTTTTTGTAAACCTTACCGATCTAAGCCCGTTGCGAGAGCGTACCACCGGTGCCGAAGGGTCTCGAGGATTTTTACTCCAGGACTTTTATTCCTATTTTGGTTATATCAATGCTATACAACTCTTGGCTTCCAGTATTCTAGAGAACAATAGTTCTTCTCGAGACTGCACGAACAATAGCAGGAGTACCGAGTGGCCATCCGGAAAAGCCTTCACTCAGCGAACCAAGTGCTACAGGAAGATCACTTCAAGTGGGAAGCGACCTTCACCCTTCCATATCCTCATGG